CCTCTACTCCCTGCTGCCCCTCTACTCCCTGCTGCCCCTCTACTCCCTGCTGTCCCTCTACTGCTTGCTGCCCCTCTACTCCTTGCTGCCCCTCTACTCCCTGCTGCCCCTCTACTCCCTGCTGTCCCTCTACTGCCTGCTGCCGCTCTACTCCCTCTACTCCCTGCTGCCCCTCTACTCCCTGCTGCCCCTCTACTCCCTGCTGCCCCTCTACTGCCTGCTGCCGCTCTACTCCCTCTACTCCTTGCTGCCCCTCTACTCCCTGCCTCGTGGGAAATCCGGCCCTGGGTTTGGTCTGTGTCTTCCTCATTGTCAGGCGGTGGGGGTCCCTGGCATGGCCGGCGGGGTCCTCGATTAGACGCCCCGGCCCTGTGTGCGTTGTTGGTGCGTGCGTGCCTCGGTCGCCATGGTAACTGTCTAGCCTTCCTCTCCGTCATCTACAGTAAGGAGGCGGCGGAGCGGCTCACACCCTGCAGAGCTCTGTGACGGCGGAGCTCGGTTACCATGGTGATGTACAGTACGGAGCGCCATTCATTGTGAAAAAGAAGTGGAGCAGATTCAGCTTTGCTGGGTGAGTCGCTTCCATCAGAGGCTTCTCAGGCAGGTTATGTAGCTGGACGCCCTTTGCAGGGGGCGTGGTGCGAATTCTGCAGTTCTGGGCGGAGTGATCCTTTAAGGTTCCCATAACAGACGGATGATGTCACGCAGAAAATTCACCTATGAGGATGGATTCAGCGGTCATGTGACACAGGGACCCCCTACTGCCACTTCTGATGTACAAGTCAGTTTAAAGAGGACCTGTCATCAGATATATAGATGCTTGCTCAGCGATGTGTCATGTGACCCCTCCAGGTATTTATTATCTCGCAGAGGTCACATGACTCCCCCTGACAATGCCGTCATCCGCTTCTCTCTCCGGAAGGACGGCGCCATCTTTGTTCAGCCATCATCCAGGGTCACCATCTACTTCCTGGACTGAGATGCCGGTGACTGGATACAAAGTTACAATTTTGCAGATCACTGGGGGAGGGGAGACTGAGGAAATGCTTCCTCCTGCCTGCAGCAGACTGATCCCTGGGGGGAGGGGAGACTGAGGAAATTGTCAGCTCTTGGGACAAGGCGCGGAGCTCGGTGGCAACGTGTTTGATTGATGAGTTTTTTTCTCCTTTGCAGAGTTTTTCTTCAGCGGACACAAAGAGTTCAGACTGTCCAATAACACAAAGCCAGCGAGCCCCCGATTGGCTGCGGACATCACCCCGCCCCCTGAGGGCACCGCCCCCACTGAGAGCCCGGAGGAAGACGAGGAAGAAGAGGATGAGGATGTCTTGCAGAAGGTGAGTCCTCCGGCAATTCCAATAGCAATAAAGTGATCATGTGACTGTAGGGAAGGGAGACGCCCACAGGAAGTCCTCATTGTGATGACTTCCCCTCTGTGTCTCCAGAGCAGAAGCAGGTTCTCCAGTGGGGTCTGCATGGAGGGGGTCCAGTTATTGTCATATCAATGATCACCTGCAGTGGGTT